GATGGATGGATGGATGGATGGATTTGTAGGTTAAATATCTGACCAGCAGGTGGCGAACTAAAACACTCCGTCCTCCTTTAACCACAGAAGAAGAGTGCCTGCTAGTTAGCTAGCAAGCTAGTAGCTGCAAATTTCAAGTAAAGGTTGTTCTGAATTTAAAATATGCTTGCACAGTCTTTAAGGCCGTGGTTGTTTCGCTGCAGGGGCTTGTCGCTGACCTGTACAAGAACTTACCACGCTGACAAAGTCGCTCGACTCGGCTCTCAGCCTGATCAGCAGTCACCCGAATATCAGGTAGGTTAGCCTGATGCTAACATCTGCTAGCAAACTAGACTCTGTTATGTGTTGTCAGATTCACGCAGGCGAGGAAGCTCATAACTGACAGAAGGGGATGAAATGATTGTCTCTTCAAATTTATAACCACGAAAGGTTTTTTATTTAGATAATAATTCATGCAGAAATAAATAGAGGTCAAACACCCCTTAAAATATTAGTTTGCAGCACTTTTCAAAGATTTACGTTGGCTCGAATTTCCAGTTATATACCATGCTATCACTTTTCTGAAAACAGAAAGCTGCATTGTTGTGCATCATTAAAAATGTTTATTTGCTGAATAATTCACAGTTTAGAATTTAGTTGTGTGATTGTTAGTTGTAATGCATAAACAATTGAAGGTTTTAACTGTGGTGCATTGATGCACTATCACTGTGGAAGAAATCATTTACTGCCTGATCAGCTAACCTGGTTAAGCCTTCATTTTTTTTTATTAGGTTTAAACATTTGGTAAGTAGTAACCATACAGAAAAAACACTAAACATGCTGTCTGCTTGTTTTCCAGGAAAATTATGAACGAATGAAAGTTCTGGTTGATGAACTGAAAAGCAGGACCGAGAAGATTAAATTGGGTAAGTGGGAAGTAGTGCTGGGCGGTATGACCAAAATTTTATATCACGGTATTTTCAACATTTACACCGGTTTCACGGTATATCACGGTATTTTTCTTTTCATCACAGCTCAGCTGAAAATAAATTGTATAAACCCTGCTTATTGAGTTTTTTCTTTTACTATACCTCTGTCTGTGTCGCTGTTTCCCTCCTCTAAATGTCTTTTCTCTGACTGGTGGTTGGAGACAGTAGCCATGCATTTTGGTCCAGTCGTGAAGGAGGAGGGTTAAGAAAAGATTATTATTGGGTTTATTGTTTTATGTTATTTATTAAAGCTTATCAGCACGACTCACCTTGCACACCAGTCAYTTCRAACTCCACTACGAACTACTTCCTGCAGGCTTTTCACAATAGAAGCACGTTAAGTCTCCATCAGCATAATGTCTCCATATTAACTAACCTTGCATTAAATCTAACTGTGCWCGTCACTGAAGAGGTGTTTACTACATTCACCGATGGTGAAAACGGGATGTTTTTTAACGTCAGTCAATGTAAGCAGCGGAATCGCCACCCGCTGCTGCAACAAACTGCTCAACAATAACATTAGCATGCTAACGTACATAGCGGTGCTGCGAGGAAAAGTGTCCCCCGGGAAACAGTTCACTGGTGGCCGGGACGAAACGGTCTGCACGTTTTCAGGCTATTTAAACCGGTATGTCCGGTATTCAGAAAATTCATATCATGACAAAAATAAAAACCGGTATTGGGTACAAAACTGTATACCGCCCAGCACTGGTGGGAAGTCCTGCCTGCTGCAGTAAAAAACAAACAAACAAACAAAAAAAAAKAACATAATTTTGTACTGTTCAGTGTACGCTGCGAGTCTGTGCTCAGATAATCAGAGAGGAAAAAAACTGCACTTACTGAAGTGAAAACTTGCAAATCTGCATTATTTTGCAGATGGGCCTGTGTCAGGGCATTGTTCAAACACTTCTGAGTACATCAAACAACGGTTCTTTAAATTCATTTTATTTGTTGTGTTCGAAGAAAGTGGTAATTTAGGCATTTTCAGTGTGTGCGTAAATCCCCTCTCCTTACAGTAAAACTAATTTCTAACCTTTTGCAAGCTGTCCMTTAGAGTTTGCTTGTAGTAGATTGGGCCTTGAAAATTGTGAGATACTTCTTCATTCTGCTGATCCTTTTTCAGGAGACGCCACAGCGAGTCATCCTCCTCCATCCATTCTGTCCTCACTCCAACCACCTCCATATCRTCTCTAACTGCATCCATATCTCTTCTCTTTGTCTTTTTTCTTGCAGCTGCATTCCTAACATCCTTCTTCTAACACAGGGCTGGGCAATCATGGTCCTGGAGGGCCGCAGCCCTACATGTTTTACGTTTTTCCCTGCTCTAACACAGCTGATTCAGTCACTGAACTACCTCTTCCAAGTTCTGCAGTGTGGAGGACCGACACTGACATAATTAGAAATAAAAGCAGAAATAGATAAATAAACCTTAAAATAAATACAAACATTTAAAATGCACCAAATAAATTAAAAATAACTTTTCCTCATGTTTTATAATTTAATTGACCATCATATTTATTTTTCCAGCTTATAAACTATATATTTTAACACATGATTTAAATTTTTAATGTTTTTTAATATATATTTTACATAGTTTTTACTTGTACATGCATTTGTGTCTCTTGAATACTTAAATTGAATTATTTTTTTATATTTTTTCCAACAAGTCATTTTATTTCTATGTGTTGCATGCTTGTGTTGCTACAGTTTAGCTTAAAGTTTAGTTAAAAAAATGCACGAAAACAATAATGTTTTCCTCCTTGCCTTTGTTTTAAACTAAACTTTAAACTTTTAGCTAAACTGAGGCACAAGCATGCAACACATAGAAATAAAATGACTTGTTGAAAAAAAAAAACAGTTAAGACACAAATGCATGTGCAAGCAAAAGCAAAAACAATATGTATTTTAAAAACAGTAAAATTTAAATCATTTGTTGAAATATATAAACTAATTTATTGGAACTAACCTGGAAAAATAAATATGAAACTCAATTGAAATATGAAACAGGAGATAAAATTCTCCTTTTTAAATTTAACTGGTGCATTTTAAGTTTATTTTTTTTAGTGGTTTATATAATTCTGCTTTCATTTCTAATTATGTCAGTTTTGGTCCTCCATACTACAGAAGCCTGATAATCATCTATTCATTCATATCAAGTGTGTTGGAGCTGAGAAACAAGTAAAACATGCAGGGCTGTGGCCCTCCAGGACCAGGATTGCCCATGCCTGCTCTAACATATCCTCCTCTGTACATGTCCAAACCACGTTAGACCTTTGCTGCCACCTTTTTGTCACTCCTGAAACTTTTCTCCATCCACGCCATCCTGGTGTGACATGATGATATAAAAAAAATAATAATAAACTTTTGATATTATGAAGTTTTGGCAATTAATTAAAAAAAATGTAAAATATTTCAGAAATAATGTGACAGGGAATTTTAAGGCTTTTGAATCTGCATCTCTTACAGTAGTACCTTAGAATGGCTTTTTAAAAATGTCATACAAAATGTTAACGTATTTCTATCATTACTTGAAGGTGGAGGAGAAAAAGCAAGAAGTCTTCACACTTCTCGYGGGAAACTTTTGCCTAGAGAGCGCATAGACAGACTGCTGGATCCAGGGTATTATCATCTACTTCAGTCTTTCTAAAGAAACCCATGATGAATTTGTACCTTGAGTTGATACAAACTCATTTTAACGGTTCACATCGAACACATTCCTGCAAACTGAACACAAGAACCGAAGAACGCTTTAGTCTTCATCAAGATAAAACTGTTTTTTTTTGCACATTTTAGGTTAAAATAAGATTTTTTTTCTCATTTTATTTTTTACAGGACACCCTTTTTAGAGTTTTCCCAGTTTGCAGCGTATGAGTTGTACGGAAAAGAGGAGGTGCCGTCAGGCGGTATAATCACTGGGATCGGACGAGTTTCTGGGTAACTGCTTTGAACGTTTCTCACATTCACAAAGTTATGTTGCTTTATTAAAGTTTAAGAAGTAGTTTAATATCTAAATTAATAATAACTGCTTTAATTTAATTCAAATGTTACAAATTAGAAGTTTATTTTAATAACTAGTATATCCAACTAGATTAAAATGAATTATCTTGACTTTATATCCATTCTAGGGTGGAATGTGTTGTTGTTGCAAATGATGCCACAGTCAAAGGGGGTACATATTATCCAGTCACAGTTAAAAAGCACCTTCGTGCACAAGAAATTGCCCAACAGAACCACCTGCCATGCATTTACCTTGGTAAGTGTTTCGATATTTGGAAGYTTTATAGTTTATTAGTGACAAGAATCCTGTTTCATAACAACCAAAAATAGTTATTTCTAAACCTTGATGAGTAAATTACATTATTTACATTTACTCACTTGTGTCCAACGATTAAATGAAAACTGTTACGTTGATACTAATATGCTGATGGTCTGATGACTTTCAGTGGATTCTGGAGGAGCCAATCTACCCAGACAGGCCGACGTCTTTCCAGACAGAGACCACTTTGGACGTATTTTCTACAACCAAGCTCGGATGTCTTCAGAAGGAATAGCACAGGTTGATAACATTACATGTGGAACAATCTCTTTACCTCTTGGTGAAATTTGTTATCGCAGCCTGTTGTTATGTTAGACGTTATGCTGTCAGGGTGTGATGACAAAAATACACCTCAGAAAGGAAATTACAATAACAAATATAAAAGCAATAACAAGCTGCCTTGTTTATTTATTTATTAGTTTGTTATTGTCTGGAGGAAGCAAAAAATCCACCATGACCTACAGCCTTGAAATAAAAACATACTTTTATTTAAAAATACCAAAAGAATGAGGACAAGTCTCTGATGGATATCTGCAGTAAGTGCAGGTTTGTTTTGAAGAGAAAGCTGAATGTTTTTTTTTTTACCAGAATGTTTACTTACTCATGCAAATATTTTGACTGAGCATTTTGGTGTCTAATATGATTTAGACTTTTCGCCCCTCCTTAATAAGAATTTGCCACTTTTTTATTTTATTTCAAGGTGGCAGGAAGTTTAATAATGTCTTGAATATTTCATTAGGTTTGCATAAACAGAAGCAAATCAAAAGAGAATGGAAAAAATGTATTTTCTTTTATTATATTTGAATGTTATTTTTAGAGAATGATGAAATAATGACAGTTATTTTTTTGGATGACTAGTTCCAAGTGTACAGTCTGAAGTTTTTTAATCACATTTCATTTGAAAGGCATTTCCTGTCTGATTTCGGTTAAAGTTTTTGRATAAGAAGCATTTAAAAAAGTTAACATTTTGTTTTTTTCTTGCTAGCAATTTTAAGCCAACTTGTTATTCAGAACAGTTTGTTTTATATTGTTATAGGCAAGGTAGCATGTCTATGTGAGTAATATAACTCTGTTTTTGTAAAGGTTGCTGTAGTGATGGGCTCCTGCACGGCTGGAGGGGCTTACGTTCCTGCGATGGCAGATGAGAGCATCATTGTGCGAAAGCAAGGAACCATCTTTCTCGGGGGGCCTCCTCTGGTTTGCACATTTTTCATCGTCATAAAACAATCCGCTGAATTGCGTAACGCGTAGTTTATGATCTGAGCCGAGTCTTTGAATTTACAAAAGTAGCATCTCAGCTGCAGGAAAATAATCAAAATGTATTTCAAGGATAAGAAATCAATTTGATTCTGTGTTTRTGTTTTAACAGGTCAAAGCTGCCACTGGGGAAGAAGTGTCTGCAGAGGATCTTGGTGGTGCTGATCTGCACTGCAAGTATGAACAGAATATTTCTAGTCTTCATCAGTGTGCATTGTCGGTGCAATGCACACTATTGTGATTCATTTCCCATCCAAGTCATCTCAAATTTGCCATGCTTCTCCTCCTGCGTACTTTGTCCTAGAGCTGCCATTGTAATTTATATCTGTAAAGCCCCTGTGCCAAATGATGGCTATGCCTTTTGGTGCCTGTAAAACTTATAGTTTATGAAATATTAATGTTTAATGAATTATAATGTCAGTCAATGGAGCCTTGTATTGGTCCAATACTGCCCCATGCTGTACTCAAGTTGGTACTGCACCATAGTTTAATATTTCAACTCAGTAGTTCAGTGTTTACAATACTAATATGATTGTATTTTGATGTTTTACTACAATATTGTCTTAATATTGCCCGATTGTTGTAATATTATGCATTTTGTGTCAATAATTGTATTGGCAATGTGGCCTCTTTCTGCACACGTACAAACCAATCCCTGCCACCATCTTTTGCCAAAGCTCAATTGGTCTAATGGTCTATGTCATGGACTTTCATGTGGGAGATCGGGGTTCAAAACCCAGCTAATGCAACTTTAACAAAAAATCTCTTCAAATTTCATATTGTCACACAATAACCTTAAGTACAAACACCTGCTGACGTGACAGACACAAGCTGGTTTAGAAAACACATTTGAACTTTGGTCAAAGTTCATTCTGCAAGTCCAGTGCTGCAGGCAAAGCCATGCTGCAATGACATGCTACYTGGRWATGCACACTTGTTTTTACATTGTAAAAACCCATGTCTTGTTAGTTTTGTCTTTCGGAGTGTTGGCGTGTATCCCAGGGATGCAGTTTACAGTTTAGGAGTGTACATATGATGTGTTTTTTATTCGCTGATTGAAAATGTGTTTTGTTATTTCATTTATTACTTGATGGTAAAAATTACTGCTACAGTGTCTTAAAATTACACAGGCTGTGACATCCGTGATCGTTCCTGCCCTGTGGTTTATACACTGCAGTGTCCTCAGAGGTATTCATTTGCTGTTTATTTCACAGAAAATCTGGTGTGACAGACCACTACGCTTTAGATGATAACCATGCGCTCCATTTAGCGAGGAAGACGATACGAAGCCTCAACTACAGGAAGAATATCGAGGTCAATCCAGTGATTTAGAAAAATACTCATTCCATCCAAACAATTTTGTCTGAGATCCTCTAAAGCTGTGGAGTCTTTGCTTTTCAGGTTACTGTTGAACCCACCGAAGCCCCTCTTTACCCCGCTGATGAGATTTATGGGATAGTTGGAGATAACCTGAAACGAAACTTTGATGTCCGAGAGGTATTCGTCCAGTTTTCTGCATTGATAGAGCAAGAATCAAATAAATAAAATATAACCTTTGAAACATTTTCGCTTTTCTGAGGGCTTACATAATAATGAGCTGGCTTCACTTTGAAAGCTAATTAAGAAATATTCTACTTTGATTAAATTTAAATGTGTGTGAAGACAGGAAATGAAATCACTGAGCTTTTTAAAATAATAACAGAATTATTTATCAAAGAAAAATGAATATTTGCCAGTTTTATAGTCAAGATTTCTGTAAAAAGCCAGACAGAAATGATTTAAAAGGTTCGGACTGAACTTAAAGCGATGTTTGGATGTCGTGTTCTTGTCTCAGGCTCGGAGTCAATAACGGCTGTCTGGCATCAATCACCTTGTTGTTTTTTCTTGTTTCTGGCTGAGCCCAGGCCTTTGATTCTTGATGTAGACTCCGGAGCAAGAATTACTGTTAACTCGAAAGATGCCAAAGTGTTTGTGTGGAACAGTATTGGCAAATRGTTTAGGATCCAGGATCAACCAACTGCTTCTTCTTTACAGGAAGTTTTTTATTCTGTTATAAGCTGAACTATAGAGCACATCCCTAAATCGTTTTAGTGAGCTCCGTTTCTGGAGGACCGAAACTGTCGTAATTAGAAATAAAAGCAGAAATATATAAATAGACCAATAAATAAATACATTTGACCAATTAAATTAAAAAAGGAGAATTTTACCTCATGTTTTATAATTTAATTGACCTTCTTG